TAACCCTACAAAAACAGTTTTTCTTGAAATTAAAAAAAATGCATATTTGATGACTGCGGTAAACTATATAGCCCCAGCTAGGTGCTACTTTATAGTATGTTCATTCTACTCACTGAGGTTTATGCCTAAAGTCAGACTTGTCTTCATGGACATGTATATATCAGCTGTGCTTTGCTATTGGAAATATTTAGATTAATTAAGTTCATTAGTGAATCACTAAAATGGGGGGGGGGAGGCAAAGAAAGCAACCATGGGTACCAGAGACAGTGTGGGAGGAGGCCGGAACACAGCAGAGGGTGAGAGGGAATCAAGGATGGCAAAAAAGAAAACAACAAAATAAACAGGAAATAAGAAATGGAAAATTATTTGTTGATGATAACACATATGTTGATGTGCTATGATTGAGCCAATATACAGTGTATCTGGGATGGGAAATCATTTTGTATGCTGTAATGATGTATAGCAAATGAATGTAAATAAATAAATTAAAAAAAAGGAATCTAAATGTCAGGACTGAACAAAGAAAATCTGATTTCAAAGACATACATGCAAATAATTAAACGTGGTCCATTGAAAGTTGTGAACTTGAAATACGTACAGGTTTAGGGGTGGGGTTAGGGTTAGGGTTTAGGGTTAGGGTTTAGGGTTAAGTTAGGGTTAAGGGTTAGGTTAGGGTTAGGGTAAGGTTAGGGTTAGGTTAGAGTTAGAGTTGGGTTAGGGTTAGATTAAGGTGAGGGTTAGGTTAGGGTTTAGGGTTTGGTAAGGGTTAGGTTAGGGTTAGGTTAGGATTAGGGTTACTATTAGGGTTAGGGCTTAGGGGTTAGGGTTAGTTTAGGGTTTGGGTTGGGTTAGGGTAGGGTTAGGTTAGGATTAGGGTTGGGTTAGGGTTAGAGTTTGGGTTAGTGTTAGGGATTAGGGTTTGGGTTAGGATTAGGGTTTGGGTTAGTCCTTTCCCAACGCCTTAGTGTTCCCTACTAAAGTGCTCCTGGAGTGCCCACAGTACCTGGGACATTGAGTTCCAGACCTAACCCAGAGGCATCCTCTGCTCACTCATCTGTGCCCAAGCAGGAAACATTCACCATGAGCCAGGCATAGCTAGGGCCCTGTACTCTCCGGTGTCTCCACATGTGAAAAAATAAATGGCGGAAGCTGTTTAGGGAGACTCATGTAACAGTTTGCACCATTCCCGAGGTAAGAACACTGACACGAACGCGAATGAACACAGGCACCTGTGGACACAGTCATGGTGCAGGGTGGCCCTCCCGAAGGAGGCGCTTATCCCTAAGGACTCACGAGCCAGGAGCAGGCCACTGTGCAGATCTGCCGTCCTGAGTCCTGCTCCCGTTGGGGTCTTCGCCTGCGTCCTGCACCCTACATGATCAGAGCAGAAAATGCAACCTCGGAAACCATTTCAGGCCACAGTTACTCAAGGTAGAGGCGTTGCAAATGCAAGCCTTTAATTAGGCCGGATCTCTGCCAGGCACTTCCCAGGGGCTTGAATATGTGCTGGAGTCAAGGCCATGACGCACCCACTGCAACCGATCGAACCTGCCCCCTCAGATTGAGGGAGGGGTCTGGGGGCAGGGAGGGCACAGAAGTTGTCCAGTGCCACTTTGCCTTTTAAAGAACAGCCTTTTCTGATTGGCTATTTGTCATTAGAAAGGCATGTTTCTACTTCTTTCCCCCAAACTATGTCATCTGTCCCTTCTCACAGTCCTTCATGAGGAAAAACCAATCTTCAAAGTGTTCACAGAAAATGCATGTTATAAAAAGTTACCCATTAAAATAAAACCATACTTTAATTCTGCCTTTCCACAGTTTTCAAAGTCCCCTCCTGGGATTCTGACTTCTTAGAAACCCTAACAGTTTAAGTAACTACAGTCAGAAATCTTTTTGACTTGGGACCAGCAGTTAGTGTAATGACTATGTCGCTGGACTCCCGTGGAGTCGACCACGGTTCGAGTCCCGGACCCGGTGGCTTAAACTCACACCAGGTGCGTGTGTGTGCATGCCCAAGATCCCGAAAGGAGAATGTAGGAGAAAGGATTGTGGTGTGGCCATCCTCCCTGGGGGGTGATTTCTTACTTTCTGTCTCTCTATCTCTCTCTGTCTTTCTGGTGAGCGCACGTGCCCTATAGCAAAAAAAAACCCCAAAAAACAAAAAACCAGAAATCCTTTTGACTCACCCAACCAAAGGAGAGAAAACTACAACTGTGTTATGTTTAATATTTGTGTTTGCTTAATTTTTCTGTAAATTTGATTTTTCTTTTCATTCTAAAAATATTTTAGATTATTTTAAAATAAAAACTTGGAAAATAATTATTAAGTGCTTGGCAAAGGACCCTTTTTAAAAATGAGAAATTAATCGAGTGCCTTTTGAATAGGGCTAAATTTGAGCTCATATTGTAAATCAACTTTTTTACTTTATCAATTAGCAGCAAGCACTTTTATTCACCACTGTGCAAGCCGGAGTGTGAGCACCCCTTGTTAAACAGAAAGCTCGCATTTTACTCTGTCTCATCTACTTTGTGCTGTTAGTGTTCACGGCAGAGGACTCCAGGGAGAAATAGCAGAAAAACTCAATGCGAGGAGAAAGAGACAAGAGAAACTGGATTAAAGTATGAGTTTATTTTGATAAAAATTTTTTCAAAATGCATATGCTTTTAAGTTTTTCACAATACACATTTTCCATGAACTTTGTGAAGACCCTTATATCTCATAACTCCAAGGCACTCCTGGTGGTCATCTCCTACTCCTCCAGCCACTATGGTCTCTCTAGGCAAGGAATGGCAGGAAACGGCCCTGGGGTAGAAAAGGGACATATTAGATTTGGGGCAGCAGCTGAGACCAGCATGGCCTCATGGTCAGGAGCCTGTGCTAACTCAGTGCTGGCTTCACAATTGCCCTAGGTATGGCATTGCTGTGTTATGCTTCAACGCTGTAAAATCGGCAGCTACTGTATAAGCTGAGAGGCTTCAATTTGAAAGATGCATTTGGAAAGATTACTTATTAAAGCCTTTTGCCTTTTTTTTCCTTCTGTCAATTCCATTTCCATCTAAATGGAAGCAGAAGCAGAC